TGTGGCCGTATTGGGGGGGGGGGGGGGGATGTCTTATTGTTCTTTGGTTTCTGCTGTTTTGTTTCTGTTTCAAAGACTGATTATGGAATTGAACTCTCATGTACGGTTCCGTTTCTGGGTTATGTTTGTATCTTTTTTTTTCGATCAAAGGGGCTTTTTCACTATCAAAATCTCTATTATGTATTATGGTAATCTTTTTTCTTCTGTATTTCTGACAAGTGTCTGATTGAGAAGGCCAGAATGGGTAGCAAAACGCATTGACACTTTCCTTCTCTGCCATTCTTCTCTTCTATGATATTCCCAAAACCAAAACCAAAAACTGCGTTTAAACATTGGGCGGTGGTTAAAGATATTCCCAGTCGGCTCCTTTCAATGTATGATCTCCTCCTCCTCGGCTCGTTTCTACATTCAAAAAAAAGAGAGAGAGGGGATGAAGATACTTGCAAAAGGACATGTACCGTTTGTTATTACACAACTTTGTGAAAAGCACAAACCTTTCTTCGTGTTCGAGGTTGTCGCTGTTGGGTTGCAAGCAGTGTGACGTGGAAGCAGCAACTTTCTACACAAGAAAGTAAAAGGAGACTGGGTGAGATGAAGGCATTGAAACTGCAGGCTGCAAAATTGTTCGTTTAGATTTATCCATTACCCATCAGCTAGCATCAGGCATCGTTCAGTTAAGACGGAAAGAGCCGATTCAGCTGCACCTTTGGATTTGAATATCACAAACGCTTTACCTGATTTCAAATATGCATCGGACATTGCTGAGATCGATGGTTTCACGACCACCGGTAGTAGATTTTATGGCGGTACTGATACAAACATACCGTTACGCGGCCCAGATACTAGACTTGATTGAATCATCATTGCGTCAACTCTTTCGTGGAAAGCCTGCCAACACATCTCCTGAACATGGCAACGGCAGAATTACTCTGAAGAAAATCTCCGAGGCTATCTTTTTTTATCTTTTTGGCAAAGGGTGTTTATTCGCGCGCACACACACATTTACAGAAGTATTTTGAACCCATGACACCTTTTGGAGTTGATTCAGTTGAACATGAAACCTGAAGTCGACAGTT